AGAGAATAGAAATATGAAAACACTAAAAGTAATAAGTAAGAAGGCAGATTAAATCTTTTCAATCGACTTTCTCAATTTCATTTATTGAATTTCTAACTTTCTCAGAAACTAAACAAAAGTAAAAAATAGATAATAATGATTAACAAGAAAGAGGGGAAATGAAATGGAGAGATGAGAGGGCTTACTTTTGCAAGAGGAGTGGTACTTAGTGGCAAGCTGAGTTTGACAGAGAGGCATGAATCCAACGCCATAGAAGGTGAAGGCAGCACTGAACTGGATACTGGAGAAGTTAGATACAGAATAGTTTGAAAAAAATATTACACCCAGAGATAGAGTAAGCTGGCCAGCTTTATTTGGAAATGGAGTGTTTCCCATTATAATTAAAAGTCCACCCTGAAAAAATTGCTATTCCTAGAACCGTAAGGATAGAAACTGTGCCTCCTAAAAATGCTAATGTTCTCTCACTGCTTTCAGCATATGGTAGGCCAATGATTGGATATCAAAAGTCCAAACAAAGATGCTCTGAAGCAATATCAAACTCCTGATGGAACACAAATGAAACTATTGAAAAGAAATTTGGAAACAGGATGATGTGCAATAGACCAAATTAGGTAAAAACCTTGAATAACACGGTAGGTTCAAATTTGCAATGTCAAGCTTAACATTGTTGCACTGATATATTACCTTCAAAGACAAACTTTTGACAAAAACCCCAACAACATCTTACATACTGAAGCAGCACACTGAAATCAATCAAATTTAAACTTATAGTAGAGAACAGTAAAACTCGGAAAAATTTATGACTACAATTAGAACTAAGAGATGCAGAGAAAAATTGTATGCATAACCAATTTATCTGTTAAAGAAGAAACAAGTCAAGTACCTATTGATTTCTGGCTTGTGTTTGAGATTGTTGAGTGCCAACAGTTTTTATATTGCTCTTTGTTCTCTGCACGTAATTGCACGGAGACAGTCAGGGATGAATTCCTCGCAATCGGAGACAAAGAATTGAAAAGGAAGTGTAGTTGATTCAGTCTCATCCAATTTTTTTACACAGTGACCGTCCTTTTGAATGTAATATCCAACAATTACAATATTCTGTACTCCACAGCCTCTTTGCATTCTCTTAATCTTCCACTCAAATTTTCACTGCACTCATTGATATCTAATTCTTGTAAAGAGGGAAGGTGGGTATCTCTTGAGATTGAGATTCAGATAGAGACCTTAATTCTGGGCAAGATCAGATTTTTAATCTCCGAATAGAATGCATCCCCATACCAGGAAGAGGCAGAGACACCAAAAACTTGCTAGTTAAACAAGAAATCCCTGAAAAAGAACAACTTCATATACATTGGAAGCTTGTCACATCCATACCTTACAGAGAAAACTATCTGCTTCACATCTTGATCGACTCTATCGTGTGACTCATTAACTCGAACATGCTTACTATATAATCAGAAGCTCTCACATGTTAAGGACCTCATTACACTACTATGCTTTAGCAAGTGAAATGAATAAAGAGAGGATGTGAAAGGGGAGGGATTACTTGAATTTCTCCATGGGAAGTTTCGACATTTTGCAAAGTTCATCCATGCGCATACTTATTTCCTGCAATCAAGATACAGTTCTCAAAGTTCAGTAAAGATGGCACACCAGTAGAAAGGTCAAGGACAAGTGGACAGAACTATGTGAAAACAGAACTCACTAGGCAATTGTAACTAAACGTAGTTCAGTATTATCAGATCGAACTCATTCGAAAGAGATGGAAAATAGTGGGGGTAATTGAAAAATCTTAATGTAAATAAAACTCACATGCTTGAAGACTGTTTCAGACATTTAAGGACCATTCCTTAGCAGTCCCTCAGTGCATCCACACTAAACTGGTCAGAGAACTGGGAAAGAAAACTAGAGTGATAAACGCATACAGCAGAAAGGATTTTGGAAAACTAGAAAACTATAATGCTTTGCTAAGTTCAATAAATTTAAACATGTTTTATCAGTAGCACATACTTAACCAGCTCTAAGATCAATATAACTGCACTTTGGAATTCTAAAAATGGGAATGCAGCATCTGTCGAACGAGAACCAAAAGTAATCTGATTGAAGATTGCCACTGGCCTGAAAAATGCCATAAGAATCCAAGTTATCAAAATATGGTCTAATAAAGGAAAGCTGCACAGAAATGCTTGACAAAAAAGAGAAGGTTTCTCATAATCATTAAGTTTACAAAAGCATGAAAGAGAAGGTTTGTCATAAAAGAAGATTATTTCTGTAAAAAATTGAAAGCGTACCTAATTCAATATAAGTCAGGTGCTATTGGGATTCCAAAACCACTTCTTGTGTATGTGTATATATATATATATATATATCACTGTTAACTAGCAGTCCCCGTATGGATAATTAATTGTTGCAAAGAGAGAAGTTTGGGATTACTTAATATTCTCCATGTGAAGTTTCAGCTGTTTGTAAAGTTCACGCATGCGCATACCTTCTTCCTGCTATCAAGATCCAGCAAAGTTCAGTAAAGAAGGCAGAGCAATAGAAAGGTCTAGGAGAACTGGTTAGAAGTATGTGAAGAAAGAAAATCACTAGGGAAAATACATGGGGTAACGGGGAAATCCTAATGTCAACAAAACTCACATTCTTGAAGATTGTTGCAAACAGTCAAGGATCACTTCCTCGCAATCCTTTAGCCTGTGAACACTAAATTGCTCAAAGAACTGAAGAAAGTAAACCACATACAGCAGCAAGGACATTGAAAACAACTTCAACTTGATTAAAGTATCGGAAGAGAGATAATTCTCAAAAAAGGAAAATTGAAGTAGGGGGAAGAGAAATAAAAGGGATTTTACCTTAGAAGTGCAACGGGCAAGCTGAATTAAGAAGTGCAATCGGCAAAACTGATGGAAATTAATTACTGCGAAATAATTAAAAAAATATATGATAAGAATGATATGATCTTAAAAATTAAGGAGTAGCTCAAAATAATTAATTACTTCAATCATGTGCAATCCCAAATTGATAGAGAAGAGAGATTTTGCAGCACATAAATAAAGAGAGTGTTGAATCAAATAATAATAATAAAAAAAAAAAATTAAGGAATTGCTCAAATACCTCGTATTCTCAAAAATAAATAAATAAATAATAAATAAATAAAGAGAGAGAGAGAGAGAAGGGGTTTTACCTTAGAAGTGCAATCGGCAACCTGAATTAAGAAGTGCGGTAAAACTGAGCATGGAAAAATTAATTGAAAAATATAATAAGTAATGATTTTAAGGAATAAATATATAGAGAGTATGGAATCAAATATAAATAATAATAATAAAACAAAATTAAAGGAAGAGCTCAAATACCTCATATTCTATGGCCAGCTCAATTTTTCCTCCTTTATACATAGCGACCGTCCTTTTGAAGGCCAGTATACCTTCCCTTCTCTTAATCTTCCACTAACTCTTCACCGCACTCATTGATAAATAATTCTTCCAAAGAGGGAAGGTAGGATATCCCTTGAGATTGAGATTCAGATAGAGACCTTAATTCACTGCATCCAACGATCAATATTCTCTGAAGAGAATGGATCACCTGATCAGGTAGATGCAGAGCCTTCAACCTTGGGCAATCCGAAATATATAGCTGTTGAAGAGAGGAGAGATTTTGCAGCATATCTTCTTGAAGATAATCCATATCCTCCAAACCACTAATAGTGAGTTCCTTCAATTTGGAGAGAGGACGGATAAAAGAAGAAGAAGAAGAAGAAGAGACTGATGATGTTGATTTCCAACCTCTCATCTTCATTGTCTGCTGTAATGGCACTGAGCTGGTCTTCCACAAAAATAGCTCATCTAGAGTTGGAAACAATGGCATTGAAGACAGTTTAGGACACGAGCGTATTCTCAAGTAAGAAAGACGTGGAAAGGAGAGCATCATAAACTCTTCTTCTGCTGTGGTTGTTGACTCATCACTATCATCATTAATCTCGTCACTCTTCTTCCACCATCCCTTCAGCTTTTCACATGACTCAATCGTGAGTTTCTTTAAGGATGGGAAAAACACCGACACTGCTCTTCCTCCAACCCCCTCGCTATCTATGTACTCCAGATTAGATAAATCTTCAATATGCAATTCTTCAAGAGAAGGGATTCCATCTAAGGGAGGGATATGCGCAAGTCTTCCACAGTCTTCTAGATGAATCTTCACAAGATTTGTGAGATGTGAAAGCCAACTTGGCAACCTCATACCTCCATAATTTCTAACCATCAAATGTTGTAGATTCGAGTGTGGCTGTAGGCTTTGCAACATTTTATCACACAAATCAATATCAATGTCTAAATTACTATCCCACCCTATGGTCAGTGACTGAAGATATTGTTTCTCTATCAATTGAGCTCCCTCAAATTCTAATATACAAGAATTCCTCTCATATCCCTTAACTATTATTTCTAGGCTCCCTCTCAATTCATTTAACCTACCCAACTCATCCAATCCAGCAACCATCTTGGATCCAGGACTCTTTTTTCCAACCACAAAACATGACAACGTCTGGAGACAAGTTAATTTCCCAATCCCACAAGGCATATACTCCAAATTGTAACATAAATCAAAATCAACATAGCAACCAACATCAAGATGCTTAAGATTAATCAACTTATTAATATCTCTTGGTATTGCTTTAAGGTGCCGACACTTATTAAGCTTGAGCACTTGCAAATTTATTAGACTGGTGATGGAATTAGGAAGTGCCTCCATCTCATTATTCGAAAGATCAAGATATTTAAGGTGCTTGACCTTTTCAATGGAACGAGACACTTTCTTAATTCCTAAACCATGCAAGTCAAAGACACGTATACACCTAAACTCTCCACAAATTGACTCCAAGTCCAATGCCCCCTCATTCCGTTGTCCACCTAGCATCATAAGTGTTCTTAAACGTTTTGCACTAGGCAAGGGGATTGGAATTTGTTGTGACAAATCCAATTCCATGTCAAATGACACATGTCGAGTCAAATCACTAAACCACCTGAGACACTAACCCAGAGTTTCACGCCAAAGTGCACCTTAACTTGCTCATCATTGAAAGCATGTTGAGCTAGTGTGGTCTTCCCCAATCCACCTATTCCAACTATTGAGATGACAGAAACATTCTGTTCATAGTTGGAATTCAGCAAAAAATTTTAAGTGCCACTTTATCACCTTCTCTCCCAACTATAACTTCAGGTTCAGAGGAGGTAGTTTGCTCCCTGACCGTGGTCAAAGAAGCTTTCTCCTCATCACGAACCTCAAAGTTGAATTGTTTACTGTCAGCATCGATGTCAGCTAGTCTCTCCCTAAGTGCTTTCACTTTATGACCCATCCGCAAACCATAAACAAATTGGTTTGATTTTGAGAAGAAAACACGTACCTCCCTCGATACTTTGTTCCCATACACCAATTGTTTCCGCTGAACTTCTGTCGAGAAGTCATCCAACAAATCTTCTGCATCATATACTGCTCCTCGTAGCTTCCCAAGCCAGGTTCTTACTTGATTGTTTTGTTTCTGTGCCTGCTCCTCAGCATCGTTCAGGACAGCCTTGATGCTGGTAACTGTGGCCTCGAGTTTGCATAGCTGATCTTTGACCCCGCACCAGAGAGCAACCTCCTGAGCAGCTAGGAGTCCTAATTTCTTTATTATTTCCTCCGCAATATGGAAGAGCACACCTTCAGCCATTGTTTCTTGGTGGGTGCAAAAGAGTAGGTGGAGGTAAACACACTAAAAGGGAAGACAAAAGAAAAGAGTGAAAAGATGGTGTTTGATGCGTTTACTTGCTTTGAATGGTGGTGATTGGTTTGAATGCTAGAAGAAGGTTTTTGTTGCTGTGAAGAGCATGAAAAACCACGAGCTTCATTTATATAAAATCAGATTCCAAAACTTCCAAACACTCAAAGCTATTAGAGATTCTGCATTCACTCTCACGATGTCGAAATCCTTTAACCGGTCTGCACTCAAGGTATTTCTTTTCTTTGCTTTAGAAAATAAATCACACCAAAATCTTTATTCCTTTCTTTATTCTAAAGATCACAACAGCTTAGCCATGCTTTCCGGAAAGACAAAGCCACAATCTGTTCAAACGGTCCACTGCTATAATTACAGAAAGAAAATATATCCAGCCAAATTAACTAGTTAACATGAGATTTCAATTATGTGTTTTTCTTTTAGAATGAAACTTGGGATATGATTCAGACGCAAACGCCTTTAGTCAATGGCAAATTAACCTTAGTAATGGAAAATGGATTATTGCCTAAAGAGAAGTGGATGCTTTATATAGTATGACCTTTGTTCATAGGAAAACAGATAGCAACTTGTTAAGATTAAATTTCAATCATGTTGGAACAATATCGTACTTAAGTATGCTTAGGATGCTTCATTATCTGTCACAGAAATCAGACAAAAGCAAATGCCTGTAACGGGCAGTTTAACTCCCATGCTTGAAGAACGAAGACTGTCAAGGACCAATTGATTGCAATCTTTCGGCCCATCAACTCTAAATTGCTAGGAAAACTGGGGAAAACGAAACTAGACACATTCGTACAGCAACAAATAATTTCAGAAATGTTATAAATAGAACATGATTGCAATCCTTCGGCCCATAAGTGATGCTTTCAAGCACCCAGCTCTTCTACGACCAAAGTGAAATAAGCCAACAATCTCTTCCTTTGTACTACGGACACATCCTTTAGCCCATCAAGTAATGGTCCATTGTGTATTTTGTTTTTTTTAATATAATACTTGTAATATAATAAGTCATTACCATTGTAATCATTAAGGTTTTTGGAACAAAAGAAGAAAAAGACTATAACTAGTTGTGAATGATTTATTTAAAATTTAATTTATTTTCGATATGTTAATGTTGACTTGACCGATAACATCATCAAGCTATATATATATATATATATATATATATATATATATATATATATATATATATATATATATATATTATCTAAACCTCATTCATTCCATGACCCCTTTTCATGGGGCTGTACAAAATACCTTCTAAAAATTTTCTAATTTTTTCCAGCTTATTATATATACAATAATTGTAGTAAAACAGGCTAAATCATAAAATGAAAAAAAGGATAAAGGAAAGACATAATCCATTGGGCTTCAAATCTCATAGCCCAATTAATGCAAACGAGAATACAAGCTAGAGGCTTTGAGGTCCAATAGGCCTCCAACCCAATGAACTCACTCTTACGGCCCAAATCAAATCTGCCCACACTTGGCACCAAAGCAATCTAGAGAACTAGAAGATTGCTAACAGGTAAGGTTATTCATAACATGAAAATAGGCACACTTGACATGTCGGTAACCGTAAGTCCATTTATTCTCTACGTTATTATTTAGGATTTGAATTTAATGAAAAATCACAAAAAAAAAAAAAAATTCTCACAAATTCATTGATCTAATGTGAATTATTTATTTAAAATTTAACTTATTTCCTATTCAATAATACGTTGACTTGATCGATAACATCATCATGGTTAAACATAGAAGAAGAAAAAAAAATCAGTACACTAAAATTCAATTTAAGTCGATTTATTCTCTATTTTATTATTTAGGATTTGAATTTAATAGAAGATCACCCAAAAAAATCTCTCACAAATTCATTAATCTATGTGAATGATTTATTTAAAATTTAACTTATTTTCATATGCTAATGTTGAATTGATTGATAACATCATGATTGTTAAAAAAAAAAATCGATTTGCTAAACTTCAACTTAAGTCAATTTATCCTCTACGTTATCATTTAGGATTTGAATTTAACTGAAGATCACCAAAAAAAAAAAAAAATCTCACAAATTCATTAATCTAACGTAAATGATCTATATATTTAAGCTTCAACTTATTTTCGATATGCTAATATTGACTTGATCAATAACATCATGATGGTTAAACAAAACATAAAAAATAACCTAATTTGACTATTCACAGATCCATTCCTCTAAAACTGGAAAACAATACATTTGTTAATTTGGCTATGAGTTGTTTGGTGGGTGCAAGGAACAAGCAACTGAACCGACCAGTTTGACATCAAAATTTTCTTAATAATTTTAGGTACACTTCTCAAATTTTTAAGTACTTGCTGCATTTAAAGGACAACCTGTGTGAATTTGTTCTTTCATGTATATATCTTAATTAGAACACAACATGTGGTTGACATTATGATGTTTTTGAGTATTATAATCAAAATCTATATAATTTGTAAAAAAAATTCAATTTAGCATTGTTTCTTACGAAGAAGGGAAGGAATCAAGCTAATTAATAAGAAAAATAAGATTATTTATATAATTAATGTACAAAATTAATTTGACTCAATTTAAAAGTTTAATAGTGCCTTCTTTTTTTTTTTTCCCATTATGTATCTCATTAATTATTGAACAGCTAATCAAGAGCCAATGAAAACATGTGCTAGATCAAAAGGAATTTTTTTAAAAATATAAACATAATGTGGAAAGGATAAAATTCTAATGGTTTGTTGATAGAAAGTATATTATAATATTCTAGCACAATATTCCTCAAAAAAAAAAAAAGCGAAGTACTATAAAAGATCAGCAATGGGCTTTTAAGCTGATGTGGTGCTTGAAGCCGTATGGGATTTTGTTAGCATAGACTATAAAAATTGATAATATCCACTCTAAATTGTAGCAAGATTTTATTTGAAATACATTGGTCCATACGAAAATAATTTTACTAGCAATTAGCAAATCTTAAGAAGCAGCTCGGATGGGGTTATTTTGAATGCATTAGATTGACGTAAGAGATACATCATTAAAATTTGAGGAAAAAAAACTTCAATTCAATTTTTCTTTTAATATTTACAAATAATAAAATATTTTCGAACTAATCTTTGTATCAATAAAAAATAAACCATCACTAATTTGTACAAATTTAATTAGATTTGATAGATTTTAAAAAAAGGAGATGTAAAGAGATATAGTGCTTTTATGATTAAGCACTCTTTTGTCTGATCGAACATGTTGGTTAATAATGTTTTTTAATTTTTTTAATTTTTGTGTTTCAATTTCAAAATTAACATTTAAATAATTTTTTTTAATGCATCATATCGACCCGGACGACTTATCAAGAAAGAAAACTTCATTTCAATTTAGTTTATATATATATTTACAAATGATAAGATATTTTTAAATTAATTTTTAAATTAATTAAAACTAAATCTTCTATTTTTCAGACCAAGCTAGCTTAGGAAGACTTCAAGCAAAACTTCATTTCGATTGTGATATAACTTTGGTAGATTTTAGGAGAGTGAGATGTACAAATTTGATTGGATTTGATAGATTTCAGGAAAGTGAAATGTAAGGAGATATGGTACGTGCTTTTATGATTAAGCAATCTTTTCGTCTAATCCAACATGTTGGTTCCAGTAGGTGCAGAAAGAAGGGGGAAAAAAAGGCTAGCTAGGTAGGTAGATTTTAGGACAGTGATGTGCACGAAGACACGACACTGCTTTTACCAGTTGAGTAATCTTTTTTTTTCCATAAACTTCTAGTTTCACCAAGTAAGAAACAAAACGAGCACTTACGCTATCTACAAATGAAAATGACATGCATGCAATTACTTAATTATCATGCTAGAAAGAGGTCCCTATAGATAAAGCTAAGCAAGAAATCCCGGAGTGGTGTTGTCCACTTCCCATATTATGTGCCCTAAAATGCTAAACATACCAAGCACTTAAGAGCCTTCCAGCCTCCTAATGTTCAATGGTGTGTTTGGGTGGCAAGGAGAGACTTGTTCAATTTATTCATCGTGGATTCAAATTTTACCACAAAGTTTTGAAAGAGTGCTATATCTTATGTTTGATTATGAAGATATCTTGATTAGTTTCGAGATAAATATATCTATTTGTCTTTATATATATGATACTCAAAACCTTCCATATATTTTTAATTTTCTAATTACATCATATTTTCTACAAAAAATAATATTAAATAAAATTTTAAAGACTTAACATATAGAATATGTACGTCATATGATTTTAAATATTTTTTTATTTGCTTTTAGTAAATGACATTGTAGTAAAAAAAATTATCTATTATAAAAAATTTGATCGAAAAGACTAGTTAAATATTTTAAAATTTTGATGAAATAAACAACATGTGATTAAAAATTTAAAAATAAATGAGAGACTTTGAATATAATACAAAAACAAATGAATATATTTACTCTTAGTTTTGAGTTTAATACATAAGGATTGATGGATATTTTGGAAGAAGCTCTATTTTGAAGGCCCCCCCCCCTCCCTATTTTTGATATATTCCTCAACTAAAATAGACCAAAAAAGAAAAAAGAAAATGTTTTACAATAAAGATAATATATTTATTTATAATTTTAATATCAAACACACCTTTTCAAATATGCTTCTAATCAAATATTTTTATACTCGTTATCGTGATTGTCATCGTTAATTTTTAAATTAAACACAATAAATCTTTAATATTGGAAAAGATGCAACTATACTTGTTTGATAGGAAATTCCTCCCTATGATCGATAGGACTATAAACCCTTCAATGGGGTGAGGGGGTTCTTGGGAGATCCTACATTGAAATAAAATATGTCACTAGCCATAGGTACAAACACCAAATTACAAGAAGAGAAGAACATTTAGAAAAGCCATATCAAATCAACCTACGTGTCCTACGAGAATT